TTATGGTCCATTACTCATTTACTGTTGGATTCAAATATTCCCCAAGGTCCATAGGTTCCTCTTTGTCATCCCATCTGCTCATCCTACTTCTTGAGTTCTGGTTTCTCCCTCTAACTCTCTTCATTACACTCCTGCCTTACTGCAAGGTCACCTCTGCCTCCCTACTCCATTAGACGATCTTTTTGGCCACTCTCCTAATACACCTGGACCAGAACATCCAACTGATGCATCTAGGACAGGAAAGCAGCTAGCTAGAACAAGCACTGCCAGTTTCTGGCAGCAGAGAGGAAAGGTTAAAATCAGCTAAAGATAAAAACCCACATGGGGAATAAAAAAGCCAGCAAGCACATCAATTGAATCTTTTTTCCAGTTATTGATCAAAACATGCATATATTTAGCCTACCAATATCACAAGCTCTGCACAGAACCAGAAAGTGTCATTCTTTCCAATTTCAGTCTGACTTGAGTTTAAACTTGTGTAAGCTAATCACCCCAGATATAACAATGCTATGACAGCAGTTCAAGGAGAGGAGTTAGAAAGCCTGTGTGGTGTTCCACCACAGCACAAAGTGAAGTTCAGCTGTTTGAAGTACTCCTTTTTCAGCGTCAGCTAATATGTACACTCTGTCATGGCCTCACTATCCTACTAGCTTACAGGCAAAAGCAGGCTAGACGTCTTACTAGGCGCTTTGTATTTTAATAGTGCCATAGGTAACTTGGACCGTTCTCCAAATTCACCCAGTAAACCCCAGTACCTTAGAAGGTTCCAATAACCTGTGCTACTAAATACTCAAGCGTTATATCAGAACACCCTGGGATCCCTATACCTAGAAGGTAATCTGGTACCCAAGTTACTTTCTCATACCATTATCTTCCCTCAAGACAAATAGAGGGAAGTACTGCCTGTTGTCCCCGTGCTCCTTGTGCTTTTGCAACCATTCTTCTAGTAGGTGACACGGAGTGACCACCGATTCAGTTCATCCCCATTTCAGAGGGCACAAGCACAAGAATCTCCTACTGAGAGAAGGACGAAGTCCAGTCTCTAAAGGCAACAAGCCCATAGGCAGGCACAGCACCATCCAAACAGGTAAGCACAAGCCCAGGCAACCAAGAGGCTCTGTACATGCATGAAGTCTGATGGCTGCAAGCAGGATTTCCAGTCAAGCTAACCAGAAACGCTGCCTCTGCTTCAGAGGATAGAGTTCTCTGGAATGTATCCTTCAATTCAGTGTGGTCTGCAGCCACATGAAGTGATGCCTGACCTTCGCAGATTAAGAGAAGCAGGCTCAGATGGAGAGAGAGGTGTTTTAATGCAGTGATCACACTGTGTGCGCTCGCCACTCAAATCCCTACAGAAGCAGCTAACACTAAGTGTTGTTTCTGTAATAGTTTCATCAGAATCAGCACACAGCACCACAGCCGACTTTGATAACACTTCCATATCCATTCACACAGCAAGAAAAATGGAGAGGAAGGAGAGGAGCTATTTTGCAGGATGTGAAAATGGAGCCTGTAGCAGTGACGTACCCAAGAACTTGTTATTTTCTCTGTAGAGATATTTCACGTCATGCCTCTGACCCGTGAAAGGAGTTTAACAGGGAACATTCCAAACTGATTTTTACAGTGATTTTTTTTCCCCCCTCAGGACTGGAGCATGAAAGTAACCATGCAATTTTTGCAGCTTCTGGTAAAAGAAGCTGAAATAAAAAGGCCACTATTAAACAGCTTTATAGCAGCTACACTATGCTGGAATCGTCATATATATATATTAATATAATACTGCTGCCTTCCACTTGCCTCAGTCCTAAAGTGATGAGGATAAACTGGGAAGTTAACCCAGGAACTGCCTGAATCAGGGAACAGTGTGTTTACACATTGCACCATGGGTTTTAATGAAGAGATATCATCTAAGCAAGCACATGCCCATTTCACATCTACTGTGCACAGTACCTTCCTCTACCTGCTATACCTTCTATATTTTATAGGTATCTCTGCAGTTCAAGGAGCACAGTGCTCATTTATGTGATGCATCCTGCAGAAAAGGGCATCAGTTGGAAATTTGCTCTGTGATTGCCATCTTGTGGCCGCAGAAACCTGTCCTCCTCAGTGTTTACTGCTCCAAAACAAATATATCTTGGAAAGTTAGATTATTAAAGGTGAATACATTACATAAAAGGTGGATAAACTAACCTTTGTGCTATTGCTTGAGCTGTAAGGGAGAAGTTCAGGCTTTGGCTGCCAAAAAGACAGGTTGGCTTCCTAGTGACCAAACACCCCACATCCCTGTGCACCTAAATATTGGTAAGAAAGGATTAAGGTGAGCTGCTGCCAAGGATCCGCTCCAGAGCTTCAGCACATGTGCAGCAGGGGAAGGAGCCAACTCTGCTTTCCCAAGGATATGGGAACCACCTCTGGCTGTTATCATTAATGATACCACTGAAGTCAGCATTTGACAGTATGAAATACAGCTGAGGTCACATAGCAAGTCACTACAAGAAATTAACTCAGCAATTTTGACAATAAAAACCTTTATTTCATCCCACCTGGGAAAACACACATCTATTAAGTGGCATTTAGCATCTGTTGATTGAAGAAATACTAAATGCTCACCATGCTTGATGAACATACACACTGTGTTTAAAAACCACATCTCTTCAAGTCTATACATTCAGAATATATTGGCTAGGATTCGCACACTGCTGCACAGCATAACCACTATATATATATATATTATTAAAATTACCACCCACAGAATGTCTTGCTATGAGTTCAGTGCGTTTCATACAGTGAGACACCACAAATCTGAAACCAAGTGAGACTTCTCGGCTATGGTTATAAAATTTATCATGCAAAACATCATTTTATCCATGCCACCAACCAAGTATTTTGATCCCTGCTCTCAAACTCATTGTGGAGTTTAGCATGAAATACGAATACATTGCAGTTCTGACAACCACAAAACCCAGAGGCAGAAGCTTGGAAGGATTCCCAGCTAGAACTGCGAGCGAGAGAAATCGGCCAAACTCTTTAATGCTCATTAAAGGGACAAAAGTAATTTAGTCTTAAATTTCACTAACAGGTTGCAATGGAAAGGAAGCCTGAAGGCTTCCAGAGAAGAGATGAAAGGTTAAACAAGCAAACAACAAAACCCCCATAAGCCCAACAACAACTTCTCCCTTAGAGGCTGCTCTCTAGATTGGACACCGCTCTTGATACCAAGGTTTGCTGATCCCTTTCATGGTGTTTTGGTCTTTTCCTAAAGCACCTGCAAGAGATTTTTACTTTCAGAACTTCTATTTCAATAGGTGCTGGCAAATGCTACACAGACAGAATCGTTTAGAAAACAGCAATGAAACAACTCACTCCTATCCTAGAGACTCAATACATGGAAAGGACCACATGCAGATAATCAATGAGAGTTATCTTTCTTTGTTAGCTCTCCTAAGATCTGTTCTACTGCAGTGCTTGTGTCCTCTAGAGCTCCTCTAGTTTTATCCAGCTATGACAGTTCTTGTAACAAATTACACCATCTACATGTCTTACCCCATCTGTGTCCATGTACCACTTTGCCTATAGCAAAATACCACCACTCTTCCCCATTTCATCCTCATCCTGGGATCTTTTCACAGTCAGTCTCTTTTAGACTGCCCTTTTCCCAAGAAATGACTGGAGAAACAGAAACATCTTTCAATGGTACCGAACTCATTCAGCCAGGGAATGGCCTTTGCAATCTCACAGCACAGATCAATACCGAAGTGCTTCCAGAAAGGAAAAAAACCTCATTATTCCATCCAAGGCTCTCACACAAAGAACAGACTCATTGGCTTAATTATCTGGTGGGGAGGCAGGTTATTTGTTTAATAAAAAAATAACTAATATTAGGTAGAGCTTGTTCTCTTGAGATCAGCACCAATCCACCAAGCGCAAACCAGGAGGGCATTAGCTCGTCAGGCTCACGCTCCTTTACTTGCATCATGGCCAGGAGGGAGCAATATTCACAGTTAAGCCTACTGCAAATTCCAAATAGAGTAAGGACTCTACACACACAAAGACTTTCCTCCTCACTTCAGAACTGCCCCATTGCCTCCCAGCTTCCCCTTCCTGAACAATCCTGCTCTCACTGCTAGGATGAGCAGAGTACACGGAGCCCTCAGGTTCCCTCCTCCTTTTCTCAACATACATCTGAAGAACAATTGATAAGAAGCTCACAAAAGAGAAAGACAAAGCTTCTGCTGAGAGTTTTTTCCCCCATCTTCTTCTAAAGCTCCTGTGTAACTGCTGAGAACCTCTAGTTCGGTCTGCAATACAAGCTGTATTGCAGTACAAGCAGGTATTCATCTTCCTTATGATGCTCGTAGCTTCAACACCCAGCCAAACCCACCCAATTAGTGCATCTCCTTCCTACAGCAAAAAAACTTCCAGATCAGACTGAATTTGTTTGCAGACAAAAGGCAGCACAACATTAGGTGTGAATTTGGCTCATTGTGAAAAAGGAACTTCAACTGTAAAAGAAAATAACAAAGCTTTGCAGTACATTAGAGAAAAGTGAGGAAAAGCTGCATTAAGAAAAGCAAGTAGTAACAGATGTAATAATAAACCCCACTCAATTCTACACCAGATCTGACTACAGCTGTGCCTCAAATACAGCAGCAAAAGGCAAGGGGAGCCTGGGGCTGTCCCCAAGCTCTAGCTCCCTGCACCCATCCAGCCCCCAGCTCTGCACACAGCCAGCAGCCATTACCTGTGCTGCAGGAACAATGTGGGGTGCTGCTTTAATCTTTAAAGCTTTCTTTAAAGTGGTCTAAACCAAAGCACTTCTCACAGTAGTCAGAGCTCAGATCCACTGGCCAAGAGAATGAAGTTAAAAGGGGGCTATGGACAATCCCTCGTCTTTACAGAGCAGGCTCTTTCCTCCAGCCTTGGAGCCTCCTCCCCTCAGCTGCTCTAACCCTCCAGATAAAACCCCTTTCAGCTCTCTGAGAGCACAAGCAGCACCGTACCCATTACAGCATCACCTGTCCCCAGAGTCCTCTCCTCCCCAGGGATCAGGCTGCTCCTTCTACTCTCTGGCACAACCCAGGGAAGGCAAAGAATCTTCCCTGCTGCTGCCCAGTCACTCCCTTCCTAAAGGAAACCTCACACAAATTGCAAAGCAAACAAAGCAGGTACCTTCCATCAAAGCCCTATTCAGAAAGGTCCCCCCAGGTTCAAGGAAACCAAGGGCTCCAAGTTGAAGGTTATAACTAAAATGTAAACCCAAGGTTTGAAGGCTGCAGACAGTTGGAATCGGAGCAAACCCCATCCTCCAGCACCTTATCTGCTTTGTCCCCAAGGAACAGGTATCTTGCAATTATATCTCAGTCTTTAAGCAATAGAGCATCAAGGGGCCAGAAACAGAGCAATGCAGCAGCAACAGACTGGTGAATCTCCAGCCCCACTCACAATAGAGACAATAGAACATCGGGGGGATTTACCCCATATAAGCAATGAACACACAACAATTGAAGCAAGATAACGCTAAGGTTTCCCTCTGTGGAACTGCACAAATCATAGGCTGTTGTTCTCAAGGACTTTCAAAATACAATAATAAGGCCTCTATCTAAGACAAAACCTAAGACAGGATTAGCAATGTCCGGTACACATGGCATGTTCCAAATTGAATGTGAGCAGCAGGAACAGTAAAAGAAACCCTGAACACAAACATAACTTTTCTTTTAGTTTCAAGAGGCCCAGAAACACCAGAAATGAACTTTTCATGTAGATTTCCCATTCCACGTGAGGCCTCAGAGGCTAGAAAGAGGTTAGTGGGGTACATTCTGTGTATTATTTCCTTGGAAGTTTTATTCCCCTCTCACAGCAGCTGAGCACATGGTTTCAGCAGTTACTGGGATCTGGAACAAAGGCTATTCACAAACACCTCCTCATCCTTCCTCTGCTCCAGAGTGGGATTCTTCCCACAGGAGACTGTCCTTCAGGGACTTCTCCGACACAAGTCCTTCCCTTGGGCTGCAGTCCTTCAGGCACAGACTGCTCCAGTGTCGGTCCCTGCAGGGTCACAAGGCCTGCCAGGGTTTTTCCCCCCCCTTCCTTCTTAACTACATTATCCCAGAGGGACTACAACTGCCATCAACAGGCTCAGCCTTGGCCAGAGGCAGGTCCATCAGACATGGGGGAAGCTTCTAACAACATCTCACAGAAGCCACCCCTGTAACCCTCTGCTACCAAACCCTTGAAACACAAGCCCAGCACAAGACCTGATCATTTATGTTTGATTCCAGCAAACACATGTAAACCCTCCCTGTAAAAATTTACATGAATTTTCACAGAAGACGCACAGAAAATTGTTCTGTAGGTGCCTTCAATAGCATCCCTGGAGCCAAACTTATCAGCTGACCGAAGCGACTAGCCCTAGTGCAGTGACACAGATGAAGGAAGACAGCTCGACTGGGGCTGACTGAGATAAAGACACTTGTGCTACACAATCCTGCAGCTAAGGTAGATGAAGTGAACTGCCCTCTGCAACCATCACGATCTCTGTCAAACGCAGAAGAAGTCTAGGCAGCTGTCTTGGACTAGACACCTAAAGCTAGGTCACATTAATCTCAGTTGAAGTGCTTTGGTACCATTTAACATCTTCAGGGGGAGAGGGAGAAGCACCAATTTCCTTTTAATTTGGTTTGAAGGGGAAAGCAAACCAAACATCTTTCCTAATGAACTCCAAGTATTGTCTCAGTGTTTATTGTTGCTACTAGTAATGCATCCCATCAAAGCACTTACTCTAATTGGCTTTTTGTGGGTGTGCCAGTTTGTTTCTGCAGGTCTTTGACACATCAACATAAAACATGAACTGCAGTGCTTGAGAGCCAGGTTGTTGTAGATGACCAAAGTAACCAAGAGTCTTCTTGAAATGACTTAAATGGCTTTTTTTTTCTGATGTCAGCATCCATAATACCGCTTGAGAACATTCTCTTTGCTCAGCCTTTTAACTGCCACAACTTCATATTAGCTCAAATTCGGTGTAGGGTGGAAGTCTACACAGAGTTTAGTTAGCTAGGTAAATTAGAACTACTTTGTCATGACTATATTAAATCTCAAAGGACTGGGCTGCTGCTGGTTGCATTTGCACAGCCCAGCAGTAATTAAAACTTGTTTCCTCTTGGATGCAAGCTGCTTTATAAAGAATAAATGCCAATCTTAGAATATGAATTAACACAGCTAAGGCTTATGTATTCCTAGAGATGTGGCCAACCTATTGATGTCTAATGTGGTCAATGTAAAGCATCACATGTCCTTTCTACAAGGGTTAAAAATTCAGAATACAGACAGCATGACACAGCAGGCAAAATGAGAGAGTGAGCAGAGCAATCACAAATGCCAGCAGAAATGAGAAATAAAAAGGAAATTAGAAAGAAATGCAAGGAAAAGGTTTAACTGCCTCTATTCAGGGTCAGTTTACGGTCTGATCCTCTCGTTTACATGGTCTGATGGATCTGTGTTCGGGGGCACAGTGTTGCTTTTATATCACATCCGACAATGCCTCAAACACAATTTGCTGTTAGATTATCAACATGCAAAGGAGTCTGGGCAGATTTCACAGTACGAAATCACTTCTGGTAGGGTCAATATTGTCTCAAATGCTCTGAGCAGCCATAAAACCGTCATTAGTTGTTCCACAAAAAAAGACTTTCCCAAAATTTCTCTAAAAGGGTATAATAGCTTCCTTTTGTCTGAGGGGAAAAATACAAACAGCAAAACACAAACCCCAAAGCCACAAACCACATAATGGGGATGGGAAAGTGGTTGGGTTTGGGGTTTTTTTCTCCTCTTTTTATATGATGTAGCATCCTGATTCCAAACAGAAGATTTTCAGTGGAAAGTAAATGTTTGTCTAAAATTCATTAAGATGAACAAGAACAGACAAGTGCCATCATGTGGTACCAAGGTGTGTAAAACTCATTTATTTTCTTGAAACGCAGAGCATTTTCAAATACAAACACATCCATATGGTAGAAAAATCCAACAATTATAAATCTGTAAATACATCCCAGAAATCCTTTGAATTAAGGATGTCATAAACTTTAGGAATATCAGCCCACAGTTAATTGAGGGTGACCCTTTTGAAATGATGTTACATTAATGATAAAGTGAAACATGACTGAAAACTTTTGATGCATCCATTCCTTAATGGAAAATACTCATAGTTCAAGAACATTACATATATTAGGAATGGAAAATGGAACTGATAATTGGAAGGAATAAACCCAAGTATCTGGGGACACATTTAGAAGCAGTAGCCCATGCTCAAACAGAAACAGTGCTTCACTGCACAGCCATGCAGTACTGAAGAAGTAATTATAACTGAAGAGCACCACATGTCTGCTCCCGGATGGGAGATGTGTCAAAATCACCTCACTAGAAATGAATGCAACAAGCAGAGTTATGGGGTCAAGTTGGCTCTTTGCAGGATTAAGATGTGTCTCACTAGGAAAAAGCAGCTTCCATCAGTGCTATCCACACACTAACAAGTAGTTTTATGTACTTACTAAACTCTTGAAGTCTACCAAAATTAGAATTCCCTTGTTTAATGACCAGGCAGGTCTTAACAGTTGACCAGCACCCTCAGTTCCTTACATCATATTTCTTAAGGAAAAAAAACTTCAAGGGAAGAATAAGAATGTCTGTCACTAACATCAACCATCTTGGCCCTGTTGATGTTCACCTTCAGCAAACTCCTTTAGTTCAGCCAAGCACATGTACTGCAGGAGACTGCAATACCACAGCAACGGGAAGTTCCATTCATTTTCTCCCAGGTGTCCCCTCTGCACCACAGTCAAGCAGCATCACCAGTGCAGGAGCTACAGACACATCCACAGCCATCCAAAGGTCTTGATTTGAGAAATGCATCAAACTGAGAAGAAACACATCATTTTTCCTGCGGCATTAGAGATGGATGCTAAATACAGGCTCTGAGTACTCACTTCAATGTTAGCAAGAAACCAGGAGTGCTGCCTGCAGGCTAAACCAGCAATGAACCTCCAGTTGCTTTTGTAGGCAACGTGTGACATTTTCAAGGAAGATTACTCCATATAAACAGGAGAAACTGGGATTTACAGTTCCTTGGTCTACTTTTGCCTCTCACAATTACTTTAAACAAGCCTCCTCAATTTCCCCCTCTGCTTCAGTTTGGCACACCCAAAAATGCCGAATGCAAAGCGTTACAGAAACGTACCATCCTCCCAATCCATCACTGACTTCAGAATATTTTGTCAGGAAGTGCAACTTGGTTTTCCTGCAGATCTTTATCCAAACAGACAATAATCCAGAAACTCTGCTGAGCAGGTACCTCTCTATAGACTAGAAAGCCTTAGTTATGCACACAACTGACTGAGCAATTCAAACTTTGAAGAGATTTTAAATGGGAAAATAGAGTATCAAATAAAAATAAAGATAAAGCAAACACTTCAGATTTATTCTTTTAGGGGTTTTTTTCCTCCACTACTCCAGATTAGGCTTTGCATTCCTGTTGGAACCCTTCCTGTGACAGGAAGCCATGGAGTAATTATTTCCTTTATAAACTCACCAAGCTTTATCTTAAATCCAGTTGAGACTTTTTCTTTCCACAACTCTAACAGGCATTTGTCTATAAAGAGTGACATGCATAAATACTTCTTTCTTTACACCATCACTCCTCGTCCATTTGGGCACCGTGTTCCCTTTCCTTTATTTCCTCTTCTCAGAGTATTTCACGATAGAATTCCCTGGACTAGTCCATCTAGCACTCATGATGCCAAAGGTCCCCTGCAATCCATTATGTAATTAGTCCCTCAGGTTTCATTTCCTTGCCCTAATTCCTAATGTTAACACATAAATATTGCTGGGTAATCACTCTCCCCTGACCTTAGCCAGAACCTAGCCAGGTTATGCACTGTATTCTTTCTATATAGCCTAATGATTTATTCTTTTTAATGGTTCAAACACCCACTCTTCACTCTGTACTCTATTACCACCCACACTATAACAATACTTAAGGCAGCACTACTGGTACAGCCAAACAAATTACATTCACAGTACCCTTTCTGGAAGTGCCTATCGATGCTAGCTTGGAATGGCACTATGCTACTCTCCTTGAAAAGGAGGAGAACTGCTCAACGGCAGTCAAAGATGAGAACATCTCTTTCATTAGTCAATGACCATCCCATTAAGACACAATACTGCAAGGCCCCTTCAAGGCAGCAAGGTACTGCACACAGTGAGCACAAAACACAAATAGGTATACGAAGCAGAAGCGTGCAACAGTAACAAATACATAATGCCTGATCAAACAACTTTCCAGACAGATTACATTAGGAGCAACTAATTTTAACTGCAAGAAACAACCAGTGCTATTTGAAGGCATTAGAATATCGCTCACCTGCTTATTTCAAAACTAAGGTGCTGATGTGAAGATTTTCCAGTGGCAGTTTTGCAGTGGTGAAGACTGAGAAAACAAACCACAAGCAAACAG